ATTACAGGTTTGTTCCACGGACAATGAACAGTTGACTGCTTTCGAATTAGATGAAGAAGGAGTAAACGTTGGAAAGTGATACCAGTGAGGAGAAGATGACTGGGAGTCCAGGGGAGAAGCAAGGAGGTGGTGGCAGGGGGACCCTGAAAAGGCTCTCGTCCAGTCATGCGAGTGCGCTTGGCATTCTCTACTCCGTGTCTGTGGAGGTGGACCAGTGGGGAGTCAAGACAGAGCTGCACACAGGTTTTCTGGGAGCAGCTAAAGCGTTTGCCCTTCTCCTCTTGAATGACATTGTGTCTTTGACAGACTCCCTCCCTTCATCAAAATGAGCATATTAAGTGGTTAAATCTGTACACTGACTTTGGGCATTAAAACAAAACAAAAAAACAACAGTTCCAATATCATAACACTTGAAAAACCATTAAATGGTTTGGTCTAATTCACTGCTTGGAAAAAAAATGTTTTAAAAGTGAGGACCACCCATTACATGAACATTGTCAACTACAATTTTATCCTGTATGCATTTTGAAAGTTTATTTTGGTGTTGCAGCCTATTTTAAGATTTTTTTTGTTGCTATCTTTTGACAGTATTTATCAGAAAATGCTAGTTGAAAGGGTTTCTTTCCATTTTTCTGGTACTGTTTAAATGCAGTTTACCACCCATTTCTTTACCACGTAAACTTTATCAGGATTATGAGAAGTGAATATGGGTCCTTTTCATACATTATTTCATATGCTGCACAAATAGAATTAATAGCAAAGTATGGTGTAAGGAATTACAATTTTTTGTTTTTTATTTTTTATTCTATTATGTTTTAAAAGATTTTATTTATGTACTCATGAGAGACGGAGAGGGAGAGGGAGAAGCAGGCCCCCTGCTGAGCAAGGAGCCCGATGCAGGGCTCGATCCCAGACCCTGAGATCATGACCTGAGCTGAAGGCAGACTTTTAACTGACTGAGCCACCCAGGAGCCCCTATTTTATTATTTTGTATTATTTATTTTATTTATTTATTTATTTATTTATTTATTTTTATTATTTTTTTAAAGTTTCATTTGTGTAATCTCTACACTCTGTGTGGGGCTCAAACTCACAACAGTCAAGTCACGTGCTTCATCAGCTACGTCAGCCAGGTGCCCTTGGCTTTTTACGTGTTAAAGTTGTATTGGAAAGCTGCTGATACCTAAAACTTTCAGAGATTTAAAGAATTTTTTTAAATTAAACTTTAGAATTCATTTCAGACAAGCAGAATCAGATGGTTTAGTCCATTTATGTTACCAAAACCAAATAAACATCTGAGTGGTTATTTATCAATCAGTTTATTAAAATAAATTTTAAAACAAGGATGCTTAGGTGGCTCAGTCGGTTAAGCATCTGCTTTCGGCTCGGGTCATGATCCCAGGACCCTGGGATCAAGTCCCGCATCGGGTTCCCTGCTCAGCAAGAAGTCTGCTTGTCTCCCACTCCTCCCTCTGGTCCTCTTCCCCCTGCTCATGCGTGCATTCTTTCTCTCTCTCTCTCAAATAAATAAAATCTTTTTAAAAAGTAAATAAGTTCTAAAACAAATCTAATATTCTGCCTATCATCAGTATAAGTTACTATGGAAACTGAGTTTTATCTTTTTTTTTTTTTTTTGAGATTTTATTTATTTATTTGACAGAGAGACACAGCGAGAGAGGGAACACAAGCAGGGGGAGCGGGAGAGGGAGAAGCGGGCTTCCCGCCGAGCAGGGAGCCCAACGCGGGGCTCGATCCCAGGACCCTGGGACCATGACCTGAGCCGAAGGCAGACACTCAACCGACTGAGCCACCCAGGCGCCCCTAAATTTTGTTTTTTAAAACACTCGAGGATTTGAAATTTATTAAAGTTTTGTGGGGGCAGAACATTCTGAATTCTTTACCTAACTCCAAGTTGACTGTGGCTCCGGAGTCCGGCGGTAGTTCAGGAATGCGGGTGGTGGAGAAATGAGTCGAGTCACCAGCAGCTCCTCTGCAGCCGCTCAGGTCGCAGGTCCCACAGTAAAGCCCGTGGGGGTCTCACGCAGGCTGTCTGGGTATGCTGGTCTGCCAGGGCAGAAGGTCTCCAGCTGGGGGGCTGACACAGGACCCAGGATTTCTCCCACGTGCTTGCAAGGTACGTTTCACCCTGAGGTCCATTTGTCTCGGAAGGGGCTTCCCTCCTGCTGTGTGCTCCTGAGACCTCTCTTGCTCTCTTGCGCTCAGAGGTCCTGTTGGTCTGAGCTCCAAACACGGTCAGCCCAGACTCAGGGGCTTGGGAAGTAGAGTGCTCCTTGATGGGAAGAGCTGCAGAATACCTTGCCCATGTGTTTGTCCAGCACACGTAGATGGGAAGTTTTAAAAAACGATGTGCAGGATAGATGAATCACCATCTGGGGCCAAAAAAATTCAGGGGGCTCATAATCTCATTGGAAAACAGTTATACTATTACGTGGAATCTCATTTTCTGTGAATAATACAAGTTGGTAAGTGGATCCCTTTTTGGACACCATCTCATCAGCCAGGTTACTTTGAAACCACTCCGTGCGTCAGACAGAAGACGGGCGTTTGGGTTACACTTGAGGGTTTTGTGTTCAAGATCGTGAATTCCAGTTAGAGTCTAATTCGCATCATCCTCTAAAACTTGCCTCTTGTATTTATTTAAGTTTTTTTTTAAGTTACTTAAGTTAATCTTTAAGTTATTTTTAAGTTATTTGGCTTTGGATTAACGTAGCTATGGATCCACACGGAAAACCGCAGCAGAAACAAGCATGGCCTTCGGGTACCACCTGGTGTTTGATTTAATTACGGTGCTGCTTTCTCTCCCTACCCACATTCCACCGAGGTGAGAAAAATCTTCATTGTTCTTGCTGGTAGATTTGAATTTATTCATTGAGGCTGTGTTCCTTACAGACCGGTGAGTTGTCCGAATGATGAAGTCACACGTGTGTGTATGAGTACACCTACAAGCGAGTGACGTGCGGCGGGAGGTGCGTCCGGGAGCCGATGTTGCTCGGCTGTGGCCCCGTCCCGTCGTCTGAACGAGCACGTGGGGAGTTAGCACGTTCTCCTACGTTTGATTTCAGAACCAAGGCCTCTAAAAACAGCAGTTCTTTTCCTCTTCGGGAATTGAGTAGTTACAGAAATGGTTTAATTCACTGTAATTTATGGTATCGAAAAGTTGAATTTAAACCGTGAATCAGATTTTGGCCCTGTGATTCATACTCCCAAAATGAGTAACATGGTTAGCAGGATATCCCTAGTTGTTCTCGGGACTTGAAAAAAAGGGAAAAAGTCTATGGTGACCCCTCCATTTTTGGTAGTGGAGCTGTATTAGGTCTATGAGGAGGCTTTACAAGAAAAAAGAGCCGCTATTTCTGGAGCATTTCCTCAGGCCTGCAATCTGAAGCCATCAGGGCAAAGCTGCTGAGCAAGGCCGTGAATCTGATCTGCCCGCGGTCCCTGCGGCCCCCGCCCTGCGGCCTGCGTGCAGCGAGAGCCCAGGTCTGCTGCTATAAGCCAGGATGTGGGATAGAAGGAAACTGTTCAGCATCCAGGAATATAGTGACCCCCCGGCCCCCACTCCCTTGTACTTGCTTAAATTCAGGTCGTCTTAGCAAATGCAGAACTTGTCCGGCAGTTTTGCTTAAGCTCACAAAAACAGATGTTGGGAGTTGTCTATCAAAGGAATTCCAATTTAATGTATGCATCCTTTAGACCTGGAGTCTGTGTTTGGGAGGAGTTTGACTGGCTTACCTATGAAAACATTCATTTCTCCATAGAGTTTTGGGGTGAGTTTGTGTGTGTGTGTGTGTAGTGTTTTTAAAGATTTTATTCATTTATTAGCACAAGGAGAGGGGGGAGAGAGAAGCAGGCTTTCCGCTGAGCAGGGAGCCTGATGCGGGCCTCTATCCCAGGACCCTGGGATCATGACCTGAGCCGAAGGCAGACGCTTAACGACTGAGCCACCCAGGCGCCCCCTTTGGGGTTTTTTAATAGTGGTAGAAAATAAAACAGTCTCATCTGTGGGGTTTTTTTTTGTCATCATTGAATGAAATTAGGTTATCCGAATGTTGGAAATTATATTTGCTTAAATGACAGCAATAATGAACTGAAAACGAGTGAACTTCCTTCTGCTCAGGATAAAATTAATAGCAGTTTTATCTTCAACAGGACACTTCTAATCTGTGAATTTTACAACCTTTCTTTCGTGTCAAACTTTTAGAACTTGGTAGCTTTTCTATAAAAAATTCAGGCACTGTTCCACAGTATTCTCCACCCTTTTAAAAAAATCAGTTTTCCCACTGTTCTGCCTTCAATTTCAGGAAAATTTTAAATGAGAAAAATGGTTTTTAGTAATACCTGTAATTTTAATTTCAAGAAAGCATCAGTTCATAAAATCAGGATTTATGTTATAAGAATTGAAATCTGCTTTTAATTCTAATTCTCTGAAAGTGTTGACATTTGTAGCTATGATAACATAGGCTATTTGAAATGGTTTTCTAGTCACGGACATTTATCTATAGGAGATAAGTATTTCCTAACTTACTGTGTCTGCAGCTCTCCCCTTCCCCCACCCCTGACATGGAAGAACGCAGGATGTCCCCCACATGACGGGGCACCCTAATCTCTGAGTAATCCCCTTGATTGCCACAGTTAGATTGTGTGAAATAGTGAGTCTCTTAACGGTGGCAATTACAATCCAGAGAAATTTCTTAGTTTTTAACCGAAGCTGAGATTTTGGACATTTCTGTCATTAGCAGAATGGTGGCTTTTGGGAACTGCTGTTTGGATTTCCTCACCCCGCTCCCCTTCCAGGAACTGTTTAGATGAAATACACATCCTCCCCTAGAGTGTCTTTCCAGATTTTTCCTACCCCAAATCTGCCTATGGTCCCCTCTTCTGGCCTCCCATGGGCCTTGCTGGGAGTCGGGTTTCACCTACAGACTTACTTACTGCCCCCGCCCCCCCCACCATAGAGCCAGCACATATTAACTGCTCACCAAAAAATGCTGAGAACTGCTTTTCGGCGCCTTTCCCAGTCATTTCAGAAATACTGAGTCCTTTGCCTCTGTCATGCTGCCTTCTGAAGGCTTCGGTGCCGTGCTCAGAGCTGGGAACAGAAGGACCGAGAGCCACAGGGTCCCTGTCCTCAGTTAGGAGGCGAGGTGTGTGGGAACAGTTACAAACAGCATGAGCTAAACAGTGGGGAACGCCCTAAATCGTCTGTGTTGGTAACCCAGAAAAAGAAGAGATTGCTGTGTTGGAGGTTTGTGGGGCAGTTTGGTCTTTGGTTGTTTAGAAGGATTTTATTCTACACTGAATAGTGAATCCTTTTGTTGACTTTGCTCTATTTGTGGTTTAGGAACTTCACAATCTGTGCTTTTAGTAAAATCCTGCATCTGGTTTAAAAAACTTTCCCTCTTGAATTTCAGTTGCCTGATTGTTTGCCGGCCCCCCCTCCCCGGCAAGGACCTTTTCAGTTCAGCGTTCTGTCTCCAGCACTTAGCGGAGGGTCTGGCCTGTAGCGAATGTCCAGTCATGTCACTGACTGGCTGAGTCCCCTGCCCCCAGGAGCCTTGCTTTCCTCCTCCGTGGACTTAGCAGATTACAGTGTGCGATCTCAAACTCTGGAGCTCCGTGAGCACCTTCACGTGACTGCCCAGGACTTTGTATAAAGTATTTTCTGACATGATGTTGTATTTACAGTGCTTTGCGTTTAGCATAGAGTATACTAAGTTTACCAGATAATTAACCACTGTTGAGCAAAAACACTTAGTAACTTGGGCAACAGGAGGGGTTTTTGTTATTGTGACTTAACTCTGGAGGAAAACGGAAGTTAAAAAGCTCAGACGCTGACATGAAGGGGTTTAGGTAGGAAAGAAGATGGAATTTGATATTCGGGGATGGAGTTAGGGAAGACAGGGCTGACCTTTCCAGATGAAGAATCGGTGATTAGTTTTGGTAAGAATGCACACTGATTTTTAAGAAATACTGCTTCTGTTTGAGAAAATGCCGACATGTCACTAGTTGCTTAATATCTGAAGGTACTAGAAACAAGAAGTGCAGATTTAACCTTCGGCTCTTCTTCAGCGGTGTCTCCTGTTAGCACAGACACGGTGAGTTCCGAGGCCACCCCTGGGAGCGTCTCCTGCTTCCCGCGGGCGGTGCTGGCCGTGGCTGGCCGGGCCCCGCAAGCAGCCCCACACTTTTCCCAGATCTTTGGGGATCTCTTCTTCACTGTTTTAATTTAATTTTGGACTGTTTTGATTGTCAAGTGTAACTTAGAGTTTTTTCTTTACACCCATTGTAGGCGGTAATACCAATTGCTGATGGTATCTCGGTGCTTTCTTCATTCCAGGGTGTGGAAGAAGGCTGATGTTCTGTGAGTAGGGTAGTGATTTGCATGAAGCTTTCATTTGAGAGAAAAACATAGGAAGACACTTCCTTTTGAGTGTGTGTTGTGTGTACCCCCTTTGATCTGACTGCTCTTACTGCTTTACCGTTAGGGTCATTGTGTCTTGAAGGCTTGCCGTGTGAGTACTTAGCAGGAGCACTCACCAGGCCTCATCTCTAGTGCTCTGTGTGGTCTCGGATGGGTCGTATAGATAGATGGCACGTCTTCCTTGAAGAGGTGAGGAGACATACAGATTCACCACAAACTGTTTCTGTTCAGTCGATAGCTGTCTCCTTACGATCATAAAAGTTTTTTAGTTTTGGTCCTACAACAGATCTTTTGGTAGACTGAGTTAAGTCTGCACTATATTTCCCATAGAGGCTCGTTCAGTATTGAGTACTCATTTCGGGATTAACAAACACTTGGTGAACTAATATAGGATGCTTTATTTATTTACTTATTTTTGCCTAGAAAAAGATGTTTCATCTGCCTTTTGTGTGCTTAAATTTCTTTACCGTGTTCCTTAGAAGAAACGACACCAATAAGGATGAATTACCTACTCCTACGAAAGCTTCCTGAGGGATTATGATTATCAAATAGTTGTTGAAAGAAGTGAGAAGAGTTTGTAGATTTCATGCATATTTACGTACTCCTTCATATACTTAAACACACGCACCGAGCTGTGAAATGGGTGGATTTTTGTGTCACACGGTTGGCCGTTCAGGGCTTCCCCCTCCTGCCACCACGCCCACCTGCTGCTCGACCGAGGCGCCCTCGTTACGTCTGTGTGTATGCAGTGGAGCGTGTGAGAGTGCTGCTCGGGCTGCAAACGGAGCCTCTCTTCGCCCTGTGTGACCCGGCCTTTTTCACTGCTAAGAGCCAGTCACGTAGTGCAGATGCGAAGAGAGAAGAGCTTGCACGGACATCTTGCTTTATCTGAAAATCAGTGTTTCAGTCCAACAGATTACATGTCAGTGCCTATGCACTGGATTACAGTCAGTAAGGATTTCATTTAGGCTCGTGTCGTCCTGCTCTTAACAAAATAACTGAAGGGACGCCTGGGTGGCTCAGTCGGTTAAGCATCTGCCTTCGGCTCAGGTCATGATCTCAGGGTCTTGGGATCGAGTCCCGCATCGGGCTCCCTGCTCAGCAGGGAGTCTGTTTCTCCCTCTCCCTCTGTCTCTTCCCCCTGCTCGTGCTCTCTCTCTCAAATAAATAAATAAAATCTTTAAAAATAAATAAATAAATAACTGAAAACAGTAGCAGATTCAAGTGGACACTCATTATGGTCATTTCCTTAGTGGATCTGTCCTACTTGGAATTTCCCACCTCTGGGAATGTTAAGCAACAGGAATGGCTTTGTTCATAGTACCTGATGAAGACAAAGTGGACTTGGTCGTAAAGACACGCGGGGTCAGCACAGCGGCTGTGCGGCCTGTCAGGTGCGCCCTGGGAGGCCCTCCAGCGTTGGCAGGCCGCGAGCGTGAGTGCGTGCGGGGGGCGGCATGACCTCCCGGCCGCCTTCTGGCTCCAGGCCTGTGCTCAGGAGTCCTAATGGAATCTCTTCGAGCACTGGAAGTCATGATACCAGACGAGCCCATTGAAAATGAAAGCTAAAAATTCACGGCATTGGAAAACTTTATTTACACCCACCCACACATAATTTTTCCCCAACTGTGCCCCAAATTAGTTCAAGTGATAAGAGTTTTTAACATGATCTTGGGGCTGACTTATTTCCATGGGAGGAAAATATTTCATCGTATAAATTTAAGTAGGGAAAACATAGTTTTATTTAAGGAAAGTTACCTCTTGACATTTTAGGAACTCCGGTGTTGTTTACATTAAGATACCCGTTGTGTAAATTTTAAATGAGGTTTACTGATTTTGCTAGGATGCCTATTTTAAAGTACAGAATCAGCTTCTGCTTTCAGGAATTCAGCCTAGTGTTTCAGATGAGAGCGTGTGCATTGCAACATTATTTATCTATTTTTGTAAAGGGCTGTTAATCACTTGGTGCCGTCCTGTCTGGGTCGTGTGCTTGTGGATTGTCTGCATGAAATCTCTTGATACGGCCTCTCATTTCTGCAAAAAGTTTTCCTATATTTTTAGCCCCCCACCCTAGTGTGAAGCTAAATTATTTAATAGAAATATTTAGACACCAGAGCTGACTGTTAATGAGATCTTTATTGCACGTGCTGCTCCACTCTCTTTGGAACCAGGGCAGTGTTTAAAAGCAAATGCCAATGTTGTTATGAAATCTAATTCATTTATCCTGCGTTTGGCCAAAACCTAGTCACTCGCACTCTCTTTCTCTCTCCTGTTTCTAGGCACATGGGCTGTTGTTGAAAGGAACAGTTAGTATGTCCAGTTTTGTTTCCACGTTGTCTTTTGAGGTTTGAAGTTTTGCAGGATACTTGATTTTTGATGGAACTGTCATTTAATGCCTCTTGAATGGTTCTGCAGGAGTGTCAGCATGGGTTGTAAACTGGAGCTCTCGTGTGAAATGTGACACTGTGACCTCTTGATCCCGAGGCCCGGAGTGTTGCCAACTGAACCAAACCCTGCTGTTTCCTAAGAATAGAGGTACTCTGCTTACGGATTGGAGTTCCGCTCAGTGCTCATGATGTTCTCCAATAATTGGTCAGAATCCCAGATACCCTGGTTGGTTTTGTACGTCAGTGAGTGGCCTGACTCCTTTGTGGGGAGGAGAGGGGGATGTGCACCATTTCTTCAGAGTTGCCGAAGGAGTTCTGGAGGGCCAGCTGCACTGCTAGGGCAGACCTGCCCCTCCAGAAGGTGTCTTCAGGTGCGCAAAGAAGTCTGTGGTAACGTTATCCCTGACCCACTTGAAACACGTGGTAAACGTACCGTCATAGTCTTCATCCTTGCAAACTGAAACCCTGGAAACCATCAGTACTGAACTGAGAAAATAAAGAAGGCATAGAAAAGTTGGTGGGAAGCGTGAGAAGTAGGTTCGTCCGGGAGGCGTGAAATATTTGTAAAAGATTGACCATATCTTTCATCCTGTTAGTTTGAACTGTTCACAATCCAAACACAGCCTCACAGGCCTGCATTTGATGGACAAGGTTCAGGATTCTTGTTCTCAGATCCAAGCTGCTTTCTGTGTCTTTTCTACTTTTTCTACTCCTTTGCTTATTCCTCTTGTCCTTTATGCTCTTCAAAATTGGCGGTGCTTTGATGCCGGAGTATTTTGGAGTCTTTCAGGGACAAAGTGGTTGCAAGATCATGGTCCACCAGAGGGATGCAGACGAGAAGCCCTCTTACCTGACCCAAGTAGTTAAGAAAGGTCACACTTGAGAGAACTTTGCTTAGGTTGCCTTAGTTGAGTCAGATTTGCTTGTTACAAATTAGTGAAGACACGTATAAGCAGTGTACAAGTCAGCGGGACCACTCACCTGGAGATGGGGGTCCGAAGCCTGGCTCCAGATCTCCTTTCTAGCCTTGCTTCCGTTTACCACCTCCCCCGGCCCCCAGCGTGCACCCCCAGTGAGTGTGTGCGAGTTCAGGCCCTTGTGCCCACTGTTAGGGCTGCTCACCTGAGGAGGTCTCCTCAGCCTCTGCCCATTTTTTATTTTAGTCATTTAAGGCTCAGACACTGGCCCAAATTCTTCCCTAACTGTGTTGACAGTATTTGAGCCTCCCCATCTCAACTTCTGTAGTTTTTTTTTTTTTTTTTTTAAGTTTTACCCATTTATATTAGAGC